GCACTGCTGTGTAAGTTTAAATAGGACTCAAACGTTACTCTTTTCGTCTTATAAAATGGTTTAAAATGTAAGCTGAGGGTCAGCAGGTGTTCCTGTTATTCGTAACTTAATTAATAGTAGTGTTTTAGTGTCCGATAGGTAGTTTTCTTTGTGCGTTTCAGCAGCTTACAAGTTGCCTGTAAAGTGATGATTGTTTTCAACTATGCATCTCCTTTGCTTCACGCCACTAGGTTTAGTTTTGCAGCATTTCAACTAGTTTCGCTGCTAGAACAATTTTACGCCGTGGCGGAGGACTGTCCTGATTGACACCACACGTCCCTTATTAGCGTAAGTAAATAGAATTTCTTGTAGCTAACAGGCGGCAGCTCAGGGGAGCAGGCAACTGGCGGGAGTCCATCTGTGACGCGACTGACGCCTGAATCCCACATCTGTCGCCCTCGTTCCCACAAGGAAACGTCGGATAGGGTCTTCTCCCCAGCCCCTGCTGGGGGTATCCCGAATTCACCGTCACCAGCATGCATTGGAATCCCCAAGCTTCAGAGCTGTTCCTCTGGAGGCCATTAGGTCTAGCCATGCCTGCTGTGATTAATCCAGAGTTTGAATAAATGCAGCTTGGGGATATTATCAAAGTCCGCGCACTCTGGACAAAGAAGTGATTTACTTTAGCTAGCCCGACACTTAACTCTATAATGGAAGACTCCGTGACTAAAAATTTTTGACGTAAATTCAGACCATTCTAAAGCGCCCCATACACTAGCGTATCTGACTCTTGGAGTCCGGTTAGCTGATTCTGACTAGCGTATCTGATTCGGCGGTATTTCACCATACACCTTCGTACTTGGCTAGCAACGCGAGAAGACTTCGAAAATTTTTCGAAGTCAGCCGTGTCAAATTGTTGGTGCTGTAAGTAGTCAAATGAACGGCTAGTCCAAACGACAGGCATTCGGTCAATATAAATTTGCTAAATTTCATACGCGAAGATAGTCGAAACGACTATCTAAACTATTAAGGATTCTTGATTTTCTCAACAAAGTCAAAGTCTACATTGGGAACTTTTTCTCACGTGATTCGAATGAGATATTCCCATGCTTCATCTTTTTTGTATAATTTGTTCAAATATTCTGCGTTTCGAACCTTCCACATGCACGGCAAATAGCGGTAATCTCCAATAAACTTGGTTAGGAAGTCGGGCTCATGAATAGCTCTGAGTCCGCCATGACTGCATACCCCCTACCAGCTTGGCGTCTGCATTGCAACTGAAGTAGTGAAGTTACTGAACTCGAGCCGACTGCCGATAGCCCACCACACTGACCACAGTCCCTACAGCAAGCAGTGGAAGCCCAGGCTCAGTTCGCCTTTATTTTGTCCACCTCGGCTCGTTCGGCGCCATATATATGGGGTTTTTTGCCATAGTTATATGGCAATACGGGCCAAAATTTCTTCCAAACGACTGAACGAACAGTTTCGAATGAAATTTTGATTTTACAGTCCTAACTATCGAACGGCAATGTTTTGCTCGTGAAAATTTTTTCGATTGTGGCCTTCTATCGCGAGTTTTTTTGTTCGCTTTTATTCGTGACTTGAACAGCAATAAGTGCTTAAATTCGCAGTAATCAAGAATTTTTTTTCAAACTACTGAACAGATTTGAACGAAACGGTATAGAAATACCTAACCTCAGCAACGGTGATTTTACAATTTTTTCGTTTTGCCTTCGTTTGCGAGTTATACGGCTATACGTACTGCTGATTAAACTGGCCGGTAGAAAAGCCGGTCGTTCCTCCTATATCTGTATAACTCGCGAACGAAAGCAAAATAGAAAAATTGTCATGAGCGAAACATCATCGTTGAGAGGTTCGGTATTTATATACAAAGTTTCGTTAAAATCTGTTCTATAGTGTTTAAGAAATTTCTTGATCGCCGCGAATGTAAGTGACAAATAACCCGGCGATACGGGCCGAATATAAGGAAGAGTGAAATTAAGAATGAAGGTGAAATGAAATAAACTCGCAAGCGAAGGTAAAATCGGAAGAAAATTTATAAGCTAAGAAATCACCGTTTGGTAGTTAGGAATGTACATTCAAAATTTCGTTCAAATCTGTTTGGAAGTATCAAATAGTTTGGAAGAAATTCTTTGATCAGTGCGAATTTCAGCCTGTTTCGCAATATACGCGTTACTCACAAGTGAAGGTGAAATTTAAAAAAATTTCACGAGCTAAATATCACCGTTAGGTTCTGATGAATACGTGTTCCAAGTTTCATAGAGCTGGGCTCATAAGTTTTGGAGATATTACTTTATAACTGAATTTGGAGATCGGTCTCTGGTCGTGAGACCGGCCACGAGTCTGGCCGTACGTCGTAGGTTTCTAGTGCTGAAACAGTTAATACAGCTGAAAAACATATTGGTTTAATAAATGGGGTTCTATTTTTGAAATACACATTTGTGTTTAACCTTTATCTTTTACAATTGCAGCGTACTAAATTTCAAGAAAGAGGCGTATGCCTTTGGGGGGCGCTAGAAATTCACTGGGGAGCCAAAGGGGGCGCCAGCCTGAAAATGTTTGGGAACCACTGCCGTAGATGAAACTGCTGTGGGCTGCAGCGCGAGTTGCCGGCACGCGCGACACTACTGCTACCTTCGCTTATATTACTAATGCTGCTGCTACTACTACTACCACCACCACTACTATAAGAGGGTCGACAGAAAATCAGCCTTTTATATAGTGGCTACCGAACGTTGAGCCGAAATGATTCACGAGTCACTCCGAATCGACTTGAGACGACAAATCAAGGCTATGAGAATGAGAACTAAACGCGAACCGGTACGATTCCTAAAATCATTCAGAGTAACTGTGAAAAAAGGAGAAGATGGTCACCAGGCAGTTTCTCCAACTCCAGCGGCGTCTTCGATTGATTTCTTCTACTAAACCACGGCTTTTGTCGTCAATGAGAATAATAACTAAGCTCTTCACTGCGGCATATAAGTATATGAACGATAAATAATACGTACATGCACGATGAATAATACGTATATCATATATGCGCGACCAAGTATATAAATAATGGCTGTAGTATGGGCTAGCATCGTCTTCCAATCCCTGAAAAAATTCTGTACCCCCTCTGACAGAGCGAGCCGGAAGCTTACAGCGACTTTGATACCAGCCACCTTACCAGCCCATGCTCGAACAGCCGCTCGTTTAAGTCTGACTTTACTAGTTGACTTACGAGTTGATGTGACTTACTATTAGAGTATCCAGCCAATAGTCGTAAAAAAAAAGCGTACAAAGCTCGCTATTTCATCATTTTGAACTTGGAGAAGAAGTCCGTCCGTAATTTGAATAAAGAATTAGCATTTTCAAGAAACAGAAATGCATTCTTCAAAAAATAGGTACTTCAAGCTGATAATGCAGGTTGGGAAATAGTCACATCGAGGAACAGTGCGAACTGAAGTTGGAGACTACTCTCGTCTGAAAATTTTCATAGCCACGCAATTTGACGCAAACACAGGAATCACGACGCTCCCGATGACAACTCTATATAAGAAATTAGGGAAAGGAGGGAACGGAACGAAACCCTTAAAGGGTAGGTACGATTACAAGAAACGGCATCGTAATAGATCCCTCTAAATTGGCTTCGAACGATCACAGAATATAAACAGGGTTCGAAACGCCAGGATTTCTCCTACCAGCGAACTATTGTCAGAGCCTAGGCAACTAAATGTGCTAGATGTAGTCGTCAGCATTTCGGCTGACTATACAGCACGTGAGCATGATTGTGACGATTCTCCTTGCTGCCTTCGCACAGGGGAGAATCTTCTAAAAGCTTGCAACGAATAGCTTATAGAGACGAGATTGCTTACCTATGCTAGCTAGCTAAGATGCACCGATCGCTTATTCGAAAGTTTACCGGAACTAGAAGTCATGTCACGTCGATTCGATGGTAGTGGTACAGGTGTTGACGAGTGTGCGTAACTTCTGGTAAATGCCGAAGTTTGCCTCAATCTTCATATTCAGATCGAAAGTAATGAGGATGGTTGCAGACTTTATAACAGACTTTAACTGGCAATTTTTTCAAACAAATATCTTCAAGTTGACTTACGACCAAGAGCACTTTTCTATCAAAAATGAAGTTTAGCTCGTGACAATTTTTCTTTATTTTGCCTTCGTTCCCTAGTTTTTATCCCATTTATTCCTCATTCGTGATATTTAAACAGCAATACGTGCTTAAATTCGCAGTGAACTAGAAATTTCTTCTAAAATACTGAACGGATTTGAACGAAACTTTGTATATACCTAACCTCCCAACCGTGATGTTAAGCTGGTGACAATTTCTTAAATTTTCCCTTCGTTTGAGAGTTATATACGGCTTTACGTATACGGCTCTAGATCAATGCAAGTTTAAAAATCGGCCTGAGAATTGAGAAATACCGGTCGTTTCTCCTTATATCCGTATAACTCGCGAACGAAGGCAAAATCGATCATATTGTCACGAGCTAAACATTACCTTTGGATAGTTAAGAATGTATATTAAAATTATTCAAAGTTTCGCTCAAATCTGTACCGTAGTTTAAAAGAATTATCTTGTTCACTGTGAATTTAGGCACGTATCGCCAAATAACTCACGAATGAAGGTGAAATTGCAAACATTTTCACGAGCTAAACATCACCGTTAGGTCCTAATGAATACGTGTCCCAAGTTTCATCGAGCCACGTTCATTACTTCGGGAGATATTCCTTGCTCGCTGAATCTGAACAGACCCCGAGGTAAATTCGTCCAAGACGTCCGTTGCTAATCGGAGCGTAAAATCAGTCAACGCGAATAAATGGATAATTTTACGTTTCAATCATGTACCATTTACCAAATATGTTTTCAAGTAAAATTCGTGTACTAGGTATACGAATACGTGTACTAGGTGATGGCGCCTAAAATTCGTTTTTTTTATCACATAATTTTAAAACCATCGAGCGTTTCGTCAACTTGGAAGGTAAATGATCACATCAAATTAATTAAGACATTTACTTGCTAGGCGCGAAGCCTGAAAGAGAAATCGAGACGCCAATAAAACGTTCATGAGAACACGTCAACCCGCTCACTTAATATAACTTCGCAGACCACCTCGCACGGTACAGCGTCAGACAGCAATGGCAAAAATCTTGAAATGAGTGAAAAATCCACCTACATTTCATTTCATTTTGGCGATATACAAACTGTTAACTCGCACTGAATGGAAACGAATAAATAAAAAACACATACTAAGCAAATCAATTTATGGGACGTAAGAAGCGAACAACATTATGCCTTGGCCGCATGAAACATCAATTAGAGGTTAGTACCTTGCAACCTGTGGAAGCAAGTAAATTGAAGACAACTTTCAATTTCCCCCATGTGGCGACGTGGCAAGTCCCAGACATGGTATCTTAGATGAGATCTGCCACGTTGAGCGGCATCTGCTCGATGGAGGTGCGGTAGTGCTCCTCGATGTCGGCCAGCGTGCGATTGTCGTCGTTCGTGACAAAGTTGATGGCCACGCCCTTACGACCGAAGCGCCCGCCACGCCCGATGCGGTGAATGTAGTTCTCCCTGTTGGTCGGTAGGTCGTAGTTGATGACCAGCGACACCTGACGGACAAGGGAGAAGGTTATCACATGGTACAAGAAAATATTTTTCAAATGATCACCGAAATGTAAAAAAAACTCTTTTCAAAGACTTCATGACGCAGAGCTTTCCTATGACGCTGTCATAGGCTCCTAGGTGACAAGGACAGGGACCAGGGTTACAACGCAGGCAAGAAATACAAGTATCCTTATAACAGGTAGTGTGCCTAGGGGCTTTAGCCTTATTAATAAAACTGTATTTGTAGTGTGCCTAGGGGCCTTAGCCTTATCACTTAAGCTGTATTTGTAGAGTGTGCCTAGGGGCCTTAGTCTTATTACTTAAGCTGTATTTGTAGTATGTGCCTAGGGGCTTTAGCCTTATTAATTAAGCTGTATTTGTAGTGTGTGCCTAGGGGCTTTAGCCTTATTAATTAAGCTGTATTTGTAGTGTGTGCCTAGGGGCTTTAGCCTTTAGCCTTTGCCCGGAGATTGAATTAGGCCCAGTCACAACAAAACAAAATATACACAGATTCAACTAGGTACGATAACTGTAGCACAGTCAGAACCAATTAAATGTCTCACATTATTGACAATGTAAAAAACTTTGCATCTCCTTCATCATATGCAGAACCTAAATTGTGAGCTAAAAGGAGCAGGAAGGAATTGTTTGCCGTTCAATATAAGCCCACAATGCCAGGAGCATTACACAATAAGCACTACAGTGCACCACAAACAACAGTGCACCACAATAACAGTGCACCACAATAACAGTGCACCACAATAACAGTGCACCACAATCTAGGCGCAATACGGCAACTGGAAGGAGTCCAACGAACCTTTACTTCCAGGATCAGAGGGATGGAGATTTTTAACTACTGGGAGAGGTTACAGCGACTGAGTCTGTACTCACTGCAGAGGAGACGGGAGAGGTATGTCATTCTGTACACATGGAAATGATAACCGGAATGGTGCCAAACTTCGGGAGCGAGACCTTCAAGATTCAGACATATCACAACGAGAGAAGGGGGAGACTGTGCAAGATCCCTCCCCTGCGTAACAGATCCGCAATCAGATTTCAATCCCTGCAAGAAGGATCACTCTCTGTGGCAGGACCAAGGCTGTTCAACGCCCTACCAAGGGATCTAAGGGAGGGGGAGTTCACCCTGGAGACCTTCAAGAGACAGCTAGACGTGTTCCCGAGCACAATCCCAGATCGACCTCCCCTGCAACACTACCAGCGGCGAGAAGCAAGCAACAGCATCGTGCATCAGGTGGCCCAAATGAGGGCGGATGAACGATAATCAGAGGCGGCGATCCATCGTGGCCTGGGACTGCTATGTCCCAAACAAATACTAAGGATACTAAGTGCACTGCCTGACCTGCTGCACGTCAATGCCGCGGGCAAGGAGGTCGGTGGTGATGAGGACACGTGACGAGCCTGAGCGGAACTCGCGCATGATGACATCTCGCTCCTTCTGCGTCATGTCGCCGTGCTGCTCAACGGCCAATGATTACCATGCTGACTTAATAATTATTTTATTATGCTGACATTATTAGGTTAATTATTAAACCTAATAATGCTGGGTCAATTAATGGTAGAGATGAGTATTCAAGAGGCAAATATGCTGCATGGTTGGGTAATGCTAAACACAATACATCGATGTATGTTCAATGTACAATGCTGTATACATACATCGATTCTGCACATTCGTATACAATTCTAATAAAAAAAAATAAATAGATAAATCAATAAAAAAATAATCAGTGGTTGCTTTTATTCAGTACTGTGGCAGGCGACATTATAATAAATACGGTCAAGAGCTTGTAACTTTGTCAGCCAATCACAGACGGCACTTCAAGATAACCAACCAATCACAGACGAAATATCGGCCACTACGCATACATGCGCCGCTGTGTGCAATTGAGAAAATCTTAATGGAACGATCGCTGAATTAAATAACTGGACTTCAATACACAGCCTCATACGCGATTAATGTTGTGATTATAAATGAAGAAATAGAATAGTATGAAGAAATTATTATAGAATAAAATAAGAAGCAAATGCTGACCATAGAGGAGACAGTGAAAAAAAATTATTACATAAAAGTATAAGAATTAAATTTACAATAGTAACTAACAGTATAAAGAAACAATTAAATAATAGAATAAGAATCAAATGTCGACTATAGCAGAGACAGTGAAGTTACCTCTATAATAGAATGGTATAAATAAACAATTATATAATAGATTAATAATCAAATGCCCACCATAGCGGAGACAGTGAAGTTACCTCTATAATAGAATGGTATAAAGAAACAAATAATAGATTAATAATCAAATGCTGACCATAGCATAGACAGTGAAGTTACCTCTATAATAGAATGGTATAAAGAAACAAATAATAGATTAATAATCAAATGCTGACCATAGCGGAGACAGTGAAGTCACCTCTATAATAGAATGTTATAAAGAAACAAATAATAGATTAATAATAAAACGCTGACCATAGCGTAGACAGTGAAGTTACCTCTATAATAGAATGTTATAAAGAAACAAATAATAAATTAATAATAAAACGCTGACCATAGCGGAGACAGTGAAGTTACCTCTATAATAGAATGGTATAAAGAAACAAATAATATATTAATAATCAAATGCCCACCATAGCGGAGACAGTGAAGTCCTTCTGGTGCATCTTATCAGTGAGCCAGTCGACCTTCCTGCGCGTGTTGCAGAAGATGACGGCCTGAGTGATAGTGAGCGTCTCGTAGAGATCACAGAGCGTGTCTAGCTTCCAGTCCTCCTTCTCTACGTTCACGTAGAACTGCTTGATACCTGTGCGAGGGGGAGGGATGGTGAGCACAAACATGGGTGATGGTGAGCACAAACAGTGGGGATGGAGAGCACAAACAGTGGTGATGGTGAGCACAAACAGTGGGGATGGTGAGCACAAACAGTGGTGATGGTGAGCACAAACAGTGGTGATGGTGAGCACAAACAGTGGTGATGGTGAGCACAAACAGTGGTGATGGTGAGCACAAACAGGAGTGATGGTGAGCACAAACAGTGGTGATGGTGAGCACAAACAGTGGTGATGGTGAGCACAAACAGTGGGGATGGTGAGCACAAACAGTGGGGATGGTGAGCACAAACAGTGGTGATGGTGAGCACAAACAGTGGTGATGGTGAGCACAAACAGTGGGGAGGATGGTGAGCACAAACAGTGGTGATGGTGAGCACAAACAGTGGGGATGGTGAGCACAAACAGTGGTGACTGTCTCTTATACACATCTGGGCTCATGAATAGCTCTGAGTCCGCCATGACTGCATACCCCCTACCAGCTTGGCGTCTGCATTGCAACTGAAGATACTGATACTGTGATACAGATACAGCTGTCTCTTATACACATCTAGATGTGTATAAGAGACAGGTTCTATTTTGTGCAGTCTTCTGTTTTGTTCAAAAGTTTCATTATCGTTGAAATGCAGCATTCGCAGAAGGAGAAAAAATCGACTTCTAGTAATATTTCTTTTCACAAAATCATAGGCATAAAGTGTTTTCTTTGACCAATAGCATTCCATACTTGGCATGTTGACAAGGCCCATAGAGATCATGATGCCAAGAAACCTTCTTATTTCTTCATTATTTGTCGGTTTCCACTCTGATAGAAGTGACTTCCTAGTCACTCTTTGACTTTCAAGAACTTGCTCTGCATATCTATTTGTTTCCTGAACAATATGTGATATAACATCATCAGTTACAAACAATTTGAAGGCATCAATAGGTGAAACAGTTCCATCTGCTTCAGAAGGTACAGGTTGTACTAATAGCTGTCTCTTATACACATCTAGATGTGTATAAGAGACAGCAGTGGTGGTGGTGAGCACAAACAGTGGGGATGGTGGGCACAAACAGGGGTGATGGTGAGCACAAACAGGGGGGATGGTGAGCACAAACAGGGGGGTGGTGAGCACAAACAGGATTAATAGTGAATTACTTGATATTTGCAAAAACATAAAGCTTAATTTACCGTTTCTTTAGTAATCCTTACCACAACGCAACACACAACACCATCAGCGCCCACTAAAGATAGTAAATATATGCTGATGAGTAAACTAATAACGTATTACATTGCGTTATGCATGTTATTTCATTAATGTTTACAATTAATTACAAGTTATTTTATTGGTCACCTTCAAGCGTAAGTTCCTCCTTCTTGACGAGGATCGTCTTGGGGTCGCGCATGAACTTCTTGGTGACCTCCAGCACCTCCTGGGGCATGGTGGCTGACAGCAGCACCACCTGCACCTCAGACGGGAGGTACCTGAGTAAACAGGTGGTGTTAAAGACAAGCTACTGGGGCATGGTGGCTGACAGCAGCACCACCTGCACCTCAGACGGGAGGTACCTGAGTAAACAGGTGGTGTTAACAACAAGCTACTGGGGCATGGTGGCTGACAGCAGCACCACCTGCACCTCAGACGGGAGGTACCTGAGTAAACAGGTGGTGTTAAAGACAAGCTACTGGGGCATGGTGGCTGACAGCACCACCTGCACCTCAGACGGGAGGTACCTGAGTAAACAGGTGGTGTTAAAGACAAGCTACTGGGGCATGGTGGCTGACAGCACCACCTGCACCTCAGACGGGAGGTACCTGAGTAAACAGGTGGTGTTAAAGACAAGCTACTGGGGCATGGTGGCTGACAGCAGCACCACCTGCACCTCAGACGGGAGGTACCTGAGTAAACAGGTGGTGTTAACAACAAGCTACTGGGGCATGGTGGCTGACAGCAGCACCACCTGCACCTCAGACGGGAGGTACCTGAGTAAACAGGTGGTGTTAAAGACAAGCTACTGGGGCATGGTGGCTGACAGCACCACCTGCACCTCAGACGGGAGGTACCTGAGTAAACAGGTGGTGTTAAAGACAAGCTACTGGGGCATGGTGGCT